TGATGCTCGAATACCCTTTCTGAATTAAAATGAGAGCAGTAATTGCTTACTTCAAATTTATCTTTAGTATTTTATTTACTCTGTTTCAAAGTTATTTAAAATAAATTTGTAAAAAAATGAAAATGCTTAAACAATCTAATTTCATCTCTGTAACTGCAATAGAAATGTGAATTAACTACTTGAACAGCGAAATAAATGTTTTCAGCAATTTAGCTATTCAAAGTGAAAAGCCAAATAGCAAAAACTGGAAAACTTTTCCATTGGCAATTATAAATTACGCATACGCAACGTGACGCGTGCTGGCAAAAACTAATTTAAGCAAAAGCAAGCTAAACATGCAAAAAACGAAAAACGAAAAAAAGGAGTGAAAATAAACATATTGCTCAACTGTGCATAAAGCAATGTGGTCTTTGGCTTCCAGTTGCTCTGGCTGGCAAACGCTTTGTTGTGGCTTATTGAGAACCGGTCAGTGCTTTGGTATTTATCGGAAAATAAAAAGCATTGGCTTTGGTTATGAAATTATATGCTTACCGCAAGCTTTTGCTGTGGCTTGCTGCCCAATGGCCAGCCAGCGCATAGAACAAGGCGTATCAATCAGGCCAGTTGCCAATCATCCCATATGAGCGGACGTAGCTGCAGCTGAACGCTGGATAAACTCACCGCAAGCTGTGACGCAGTTCGTGCAAGACGTGTCTCAATAACAAAATTAACAGAAATTGCAACATATTGTTGCATGTGCCTGAATTAGGGACTAGGGAGTGGAGAGAGTGAAGAGAGTGGAGCAGCACCCGAGCAGCGGTGCCTTTCGGTGGGCGGCACGTGCGTCTGTGGCCAGCAGCGCACCACAACAAGTTGCAAGAAAAATCAACTGTGACCAAAAACTTATTTGACAACTGCCAATGGCAACAAAGTCTGCATTGGAATTGTGGCTCCAATGCCACAATAAAAGCTTATTTCTGAACAAAAAATTGAGAACAATTTTTATGAATGGCATTTTAAAAACTTAGTTTACTTTGCCCTGCTGCAAATTTCAAATAAAAGTCTGTCTCACAAATTTATTAAATTTGCTATGTAATGACAAAAAAATATATATATAATATAATATATATATATAATATAATATATATAACATAAAATTTTTCTTTTTAAATTAATCTTAAAACAAAATTGTCTATGATTTTTTATTTAACAAAAAATATATTTATACATTATTCTTTAAGAAATCCAGGTTTTTTATTTTAATAAGTAAAATATTAAATAATAAATAGTTACATATTAAACAAAAATTGTAAATCAATTAAAAAATTAAAAAATTAAATAAATAAAAACTATAAGGAAAAATTTCTTTTTCTATAAGAAAAAATATATATAAGAAGAGTAAAAATAATAAAAATTATTTAATATCCATTTTCCAAAATATTTAAGTTGTAATAAAAGCAATAAATATAAAAAAAAATTAATAATAACAATGGGCCTGCTTAAACATAAAAAATACTTCATTCTGATTATTATTGATGACCCTATTTAGCTGTGGGTTTTTGTCAGTGTAACTAACCCACAATCAAAAACTTCAAATGCAACTTTTACACAATGACGCACAGCTTGAGCTCATCTACAGCAGCATCAAAGCAACAACAACAACAACAGCATCAGCTACAACAACAAACATGCTTAATGAAGCGACTCTGGCTCAGAGCGGGCAGCAATAATGACAAGAGGGTCGCAGCCCTTAGGCAACTGTTGCCCGCCCAAACCCTAAAGCTGAGCTCGTTTCACGCCCATTCACACTGACAGACAGCTATGAACAACCGTACTGTGGGTTGACACTCTGTGTGAGCTTGTCAGAGTGTGGGAGTGTGAGCGAGTATGTGTGTGTGTGTGTGTGTGTGTGTGTGTATTGGTGTGAGTTTAGTGGAGGCGGAACTCTGCAACACATGTGACCAACAGCTGAACCGACAGCAGTGCTCGCAGCACCCATTGAATAGCATAGAAATAGAAATAGAAATAGAAATAGGAAAAGCAAAACGTACGTGCAAAAATTTGTGCGCTTGATTAAATTTGGAGTCGGCGAATGGTTGAAAGCCAAAAGGGCGACGCCGTGACCAGCGGGCACGGCCACAAGTGTGAGCCAAGAGTTGAAAGACAATCAGGCGGCAATTTAAAACCATTTTCACTGCGGCCAACGGACAGCCACGGTCCACGGTCCACGGTCTACGGGCCACTGTCCACGATCCGGCCGGCCGCACCTGCTGCGACAGTCCAGCTCTGCAGTAACTTCTGCTCGATTAGTTCTGATTTGGTTATTCGGCATTAGGCAATATGCTTCTCGCTCTGCCCAATCTAAATCGTTTTTCTCCATTGTCCCAGGCAAATAACTAATTTCCGACAAAAAATCAAACCAGCTGCTTTACGGAGTCAGCTAGGCGGAGAGAGTTTGGAGATACAAAGTTCATCTACAGTTTGTCATGGCCACATGCTGCGGAAATGCCAACAAGGAAGGACTCCAAAGACTCCACACTCTGCTGCTTTTATTAACTGAAGTGAAGGATTTGGCCAGCCAGATAAATATTAAAATATTTCAGAGAGCATTTACTATTTTAATATTTTATTTATTTACTATTTTAATAAAATATTTTCTTCAATATATAGATAATCAATGTAGGAAAGAGTAGAAGACATGGAGAGTGGGAGCGAGTGAGAGATGGGAGAGATTAAGAGAGAAACAGAGAGAGAGACATTTCCGAGCTAAAAAGACTGAAAGCCAAAAATGCGAGCGAAAGAAGAAGGTGAAGAGCCTGAAAATAATTTATATTCAACCCAACTTATTCATAAATTCACAAAATAATTAAAAGTAAAAACAAAAAAAACAATAAAAATATGTACTTTTATTACTCATTTATAAACACAATACATAATTCCCTGTGTTGTTAACCCAATAACCATTTAGTTGTAAATTGAATTCCTGACCGAGTTCATATTGAGGATTGCGTTCGTGTTGGTCATGTTGCGGCTGTTGGTCACAGCTGGCGTATACTTAATATCAGTTAGTGGCACGTTTTTAATGCCAAAATCAGAATAGCCACAGTGTGTTAGAGTGTCTACGTGGCTGAAACGACAAGTTGTACTATTTCGAATTACATTTCTGTGCTAGCCACGGCGCTGCAAGAAGTATTAAGACATTTAGGAGCTGGTCAGTCGGCGAGTCACTAGAGGGCGGGCGATGGTGAGAGCGCCAAGTTCCAATGGGAGCCATGTCTAATGCCTTGTGGCTCGTGCTTTGTGCCTCGTGTCGTTAGCGTCGAGAGTCGACCCTTAACACCTCTATAATTTGACATAAAAGCAGAGCCGAGAGAGCTCGAGCGTTTGTCGCACATGTTGCGGGTCTCCGAATGAAAGGCATTACACTTCCGCTAAATGTCGCTATTATTTAACAATTTTGTTTATGTACGCTACCCATGCTAGCCCCAGATGCTTCTTCAGGCACCCTGCGACTCTAATGCATACACATACCCTATAAGAAATATAATTTATGGTTACTCTGGCTACGCAAAAAGCAGCAGGTACACCAGCAACAGCAACAGCAGCAACAGCAGCAGCTGGGGAGAAACTAAATTGTCGTCGTCCTTGTTGTTTGACTCGCAACAAAAAGTGGGAAAACAATTACAACTGACTTAACACTTCCGTTGCTTGTTGGAAAAGCCGTACACGTTTATCCTACACATCGTCGCAGGGATCTGGCAGCGAGAGGGGGCGTAACGCACTTCGGCCCGTCTAGCACTTGAAATTATAGTTTAACACGTACACAGGTGTAGTTTGTATTACAGGGAGCTCCTCATGTGGGTGGCCAGCCTAGCACGTTGACTTGACCTGCGTTGAGTTGGGAGCCAAAAAATTCAGTTTTGGTTTTCTGCTTCCAAGGAAATTCATTAAAATAAAGATAATTCCTCAAATATATAAATCATGAATTAAATTAAATTCAAGTAAAGTTAGATAATCTAGAAAAAACTGCATTAAATTCCATATGAAATACTTTTTAAATAATCAAATTTATATTATATTTGTGTTTCAAGAATAACATTTTATTGATTTGTTTATGATTATAAATCAAATATATGTATATATGTATACAAAAAACAGCAATAAAAATGTTCCAAAAATATTCGCTGAATAATAATGTAAAGCACCTTAATGAAATAAATTATGTTACGCTCCTCTTTGTGCAGCTTATGACTAAAAGTATTTGCTTTGCATGAGACAATGGTATGCAGAGTTCGCTTTTCGAATATTCATCGATATTTTATCGATATACATGAAAGCTCGCTTTGTAAACGAATAAAATGTAAATGTGGCGATGAAAATAAATATGAACAATAAAAAAGATTGTTGCAAATGTGAATATCGCGATAGGTGATTACGGGACTTAAAACAAAAGTATTATGCCGCTAAATAAAAAATTGTTTTAAACACTTGAAATTTGTTCTTTGGAATATGTACATGACATACATAAAAATAAATAAAAACTTTTCATTTTTCGGCCTATCTATAAGTGCAATGAAAATGTTTCGTATTCCTGAAAACAGTTGGCTGTCATAAAAATTAAGCATAAATCGAATGATCAAAAATGAGTTTGTGCATTCGATTGAACATGAAAATATCAAAATAAGATAAAAAAAATAAAGTACTTGATGCTTGAGACGTACCTTAAGTTTACGATAATTCAGTGTAAAATTCGTTTAACTAATTTTCAATATTCGAATACATTGCTTTAAGACTAATAATTTGTTGAATCAAGCCAATAAGCTAGCTATTCGGTAGGTCATGAAAAACGGTTACGCCTTTTACAAAGGTGCGAACACAAAATTGGCGTTACTTTAAAGGAGTCGACACGACTACGCGAAGGCAAAGTAATTGCTGATCGATTTCAAAAATATTACATTTGAATATCTTACGTACGACTTAATCAAAAGTTAAATAATGAAATATACATCACACATATATACATGTATGTATATGTATGTATATATGAATTTCATTTTCAATCAGTGCTTTACAATGTGGCGTATTGTAAGTAGTTTGTGAGAAAAGTTGTGCTGATGGCAATTGTGCGCTTGCTGATTCGAGATACGTTACATTTCACAACTCCAGAATATGTTTACGTAGGCATATGTGGTGGCAAGCACTCTAAAGTAATCCTGATGCATTTCTAGGCAAAGCTTAGATATAACTGGGCGGCATGAGCTTTATATGTGTGGGCGATTCGTCAGTTTACTTCGGCGATTCCGGCGGAGCGTTGGCGCTGCCAAAGAGCTCGTCATAGGAGGGAGCTGCAATTGATTAGAGAATTACAGCAATCGAATCCAAATGTAATTTCATCGTAAGTCTTACGCAATTCGTGCGCGCCGGCTTGGTGGCGGGACTGCAGATATGATCCAGATGCTGCCGACGTGGACGGCAGTTGGCTATAGCCGCTGGCTCCAGCTGGAGGCTGCGCTGGCGGAGGCGTCAAGGCAAGCAGCGTATACTGCGGCGACTCGGGCAACGGGTACGGCGGCAGATGCGGCGGTGGATACGATTGCACCATCAGCGGGCTGGAAGCATAAGGCATGTAGGGCACATTGGAGCTGCTGCGCAGGCTGGCACGAGCCGAGGGGCTGCCAAACTGCGACGATTGCGAGCCGGATGTGTAGGATAGCTCCACGCCACCAACGGCCGGACTCAGCGTGGAGTCCGAGGCGGTGGAGTTCAAGGAACTGCATTCGCTATACACCGACGAATGCGATGGCGAGCCAATGGAAGAATCTAGTGCTGGATACACAGATGCAGGAACAGCTGGATCGAAGGGATTACCAGGCACAGCAGCGGCCGCCACTGCCGCAACCTCATCAATCCCCGGTGGACCATTGTCGGGACGTGGCGGCAGCGATGGACGCACCGAGCCCAGCCTGGCGGAAACATCCTGCGAGTAGACCTTGAACGGCAAGTTGAGCACCAAATTCTTAAAGAACCCACGTAGGACAGCCTCAACGCGCAGCTCATAGGATATGGTTATGACGCCGCTGAACTGCTCATCCGTTGGCTGCGCCGTGTCCGGCATCAGCAGCTCGTGGGCAAAGCTCCGTTCACTCTTCTTGCTCACCGCACCCGTCTCCTTGCTGGCGATCGGAATGCACTCGACCTTCTGCACACGCAAAGGCACATGACTGTAGTAAGTGACGTACTGCAGTATGCTAATGAAACGCAATTGGTATAATACTATTATCATATAAAAACATGTATCAAATATGTATATGTATTCATAGTGTGTGTGTGTAACGTGCTGACTGTGAGAGTAGATAGGTAAAAGGAAGAACAGCCCTTATAGCGGGATAAACGGCTTTACTCTTTTAAGATGCTTCTCTAAGAGAGGCATGTATTTATCTCAGATAGAATTAAGTGGTCTCTCTGGTTGGTTAGAGGATGTGTTAGGATAAGTTAGAGTATATACCCTAATCGACCAAATCTGCTGCTCTTATTATGGTTGAAATATTCAACAGCTTCAAGCTTCCAAATTACAAAAACAAATCTCCAAACTAACATCCACACTGGCAATACATTTAAAAAACAAGTGAGATTTTCATAGGCACTATAACCCTAACTTACTTGAAGCGCAGCTTCTCCACATTCGTCGTGCTGTTGTTCATGACGGTTACACAGATTCTCAACGGTTCGCCGCGCACGGCAAAGTCCTCGGGCAGCAGGGCCAGCATGGTAATGGGCCGAGTGCCAAATAGGCTAATTGTCTTGGTGATTTGCTTCTCCAGCGGAGTGGGATTATTGCGATATGTCGATGGCAAAGGCATATTCTTCACAACCGTAAACGGTATGGTGTGCCGTTCATCAAAGGTCCAGGGTCTTTGAATGAGGACACGCATCTTGTACTTGATGCTGCCATGGCTACCGCGGAAGCTCGAGGGCAGCTCACGACCCAGTGCCACATTAAAGCTAAAAGTGTGCTCACCGGGAGACAGTTCAAGCCCGCGAGGTTCGAATTCGGGCAGAGGCGTTTCGCTATGCTCGTAGATCTCCTTGCTGGTGTAGAAAAGACTACGCGTGTATTCGTTGTTGTTGGAGTTTTTGCGCAAGATTTCCATCCATTTGCATTTGCCTTTGCCAGTTACCTGGATTTTAATAGCTGTGAAAAGACAAACGTATTTAATTAGTTGCGAAAAATTAAAACACGCAACAGCGACATCTATCGCTATTTTCTATCACTAGACAACGCAAAGCGTTACGAACTGGTATACTGGTTTGTTTCTTGGCTAACAAATTAAATTTAAAACTGACATCCATCTTAGCTTTGCCCTTATTCTTTGATTTAAGTAATTATTGCTATTTTATGGAACTCCGAGGCAAATATCTATGTTCTTACTTAATAAATCACATATGAGTTTTTACATATATATGTATGTATATTGTTTTAAAAAATTGAGCTCAACAGCTGACGGCGATGCCATCTATTTAATACTGTTGGTTCTCGCCTTGGCTAAAGATATCATTTTTACATTTTTTTGCTGTATGTGTTTGGCCCCACATCCTTAATAAATGAATAAAAGTAAATTATTATTTTCAATTGGTATTTAATCATTTTTAAATAGAAACCAATTATGAGGTTGAGCAGCCTATTAAATTTAAATGAGGCAATATTATTATTTAACGTGGCAACGCTAATGCATATCGATAGTTTTGCTGAAGTCTTTTAAAAAAGAACTGCCAGAGTTGCCACGTAGTTAGTGAACAAAAGACACGATTTTCATCGCGCATAGTAAAACATATCAAGCCATTTAACTTAATTGTCTGGGGCTAAAACAGGCAAGTAATTATAATTATAACAAACGCACAAATGAACTTCTGCAGCTATAAATATATGAATTCATTATGCAGCAGCACTGGCAATCGTATTTACACAGCAATCAAATTTGTCATGCGTGTTTTCAACAATTTTTTTCGTTTGCACTTCAGAACATTTGCACACACTGAAAATTGTAATGGACTCTTACTGAAGACTGCCGGTTAACAATATGAATTCCAACTATATATCTCGAGCACTGTGCTACCATGGTCAGCCATTACAGAAGATCTGGGACGATGAGCGCGGCGTCGAGGATTTACGCCGGCTAAATCTTACGCAGCCCAACTACAGCATCTACCAGGAACGACAGAAGTATTTTACATTTCAGGAGCGTGCCAAACGTTTAAAAATCCATCAGTTCTTGGCAAGAAAGGCAGAGGATCTGTATGACCGGCAGCTGGTGGGCAATGTAATGGAGGACTCGTGGTTAACTCAAATGAGCAACTGCTTTGCTCCACAGCCCCCGATCGAGTTCTATTTGAACCCGAAGGACAAGCGAAAAGCATGGGCGTATCGGATGAGTGCCCTGAAACAGGGAGACATTGTGTTTGCCTCGGTGCAAAAGGTTGTACCGAATGCGAATCGAATCATAGTCAAACCACTGTGCACAGCAGAGCCAATGCACTTCTATTTAGCTGATATACCCATCAAGGTGCGCAAGCAATGAAAATTAACTGTCCGGATATCATTTAAATGGCAACTTCATTTTAGGCTATCATCATGCAAGACCATTGGGGTCCCTTGCCACTGGACAAGCAGGGGAATCCACAATCATTTTCCATCAACGATTTTCTACGCTGCGAAGTTTGCAGCGTGTCGGCGGACGTGGAACGCTTGACTCTGGGCATGTTGGGCGTCTACAATAAGACGTCATCTGATCTCAAGCTGGGCCTATGTGATCTGACAGATTTGCCCAAATACTATCGGTGTGTAAATCTGGCCAATAGCATTTACCTTTTCAACTCATTTAACGTTTCATGATTTGTGCTTAGTCAAATACGTAATCTGGAGCCAGGCAGTGCACCCAACTACGAAGATCAGTTAACTGCAGCGCTGGAATTTGAGAATCCCAACTGTGATGTGCTCTTCCAATTAAATGGACTGCAGCCTAATGAGAATCTTACATTAATGAGCCACATTAAGCATGGCTTTCCCGAGTCGGATTATGCGCCGGAGCTGCGGCAGAAGCAGGCTTCGCAATGGGCATTCCGGTAAGTGTTGAGAAAACCCAACTCATGGCTGGTCGCAGACCCTGTATGCAAACTATATATATATTATGTAGCTGACCAGCCCTGATTGGGGGACGTTTATTAGCTAAGATATGCATCAGCATATGTATGTATTTATAATTATGTCCGTATATCCATTGCAAACACACACACAATCACACCCACACGCACACACTGAAAAATTCGCACAATATAATATCAGCTCCGTGGCTGATGGCATTGAGCACTTTAAGAATGGCCAACAAGTAGAGGCCTTTCAGTGCCTGAACAAGGCCCTGAACATTGATCCGCGTAATGTCGAAGGCTTAGTGGCGCGCGGTGCACTGTACGCGAATCGTGGCAGCTTCTTAAAGGGTCTGAAAGACTTTGAAAAGGCGCTAATTTTGAATAAGTACCATGTGAATGCGCGTAAATATATGGGCGAGACCCTGGTGGCACTCGGACGCAGCTATGAGGAGGAGAACCGCATTCCGGATGCCATCAAGGCCTACAGCGATTGTCTGAATCTATTGCCCCAGCATGAGCAGGCGCGAATATCCCTTGATGCACTGCAGCAGCACCGAGCCTCTGCAATTGGCGGCACCAGCGCCAGCTCTAATCCCCTGGCTGTGCAACGCAACACCGAATTGCTCAATTTGCCCAACGCGGCAGGCGGAACCATCAACATTGCCTCCTCAGACGACTCCAGTTCCACTAGTGCCAGTGACAACGACAACGACAGTGAAGAGCAGCGTAAGTGTCAGCGATTCGGCTACCAGAATTCACTTCAACCAACCTATTTTAAATTTTAGCTGTCAAATCGCGTTCCCGTCTGCCTGCAGAGCAGGACAAGCATGCCATTAGCGATTCCCTGTCGGCCAACGAATTCAAGCTGGACGACGACGACACTGTGACCAGTGTGCGTCGGCTGCTGCGCGAGGCCAGCAAGCACAAGAAATCCAAAAAGAAGGGCAAAAAGAAGAAGGACAAAGACAAGGAACGCAAGGAGAACAAGAAATCTAAGTCAAAGTCTGCGGATGAAGTTGAGCCACTCACAAGCACAGAGGCCGCACTCGAAATGCTCAAGAAAATTGACCATGCGGCGGCATTCAGGTAATTGCGTGTATGACTTTATAAGCAGATCAAAGAACAGATTGGGAAGGGTTAGTTAACCAAGTATTCGTCTAACACGTCATGATGTCCATATTGATTGTGGTTATAAACCCCATTCGTGATCTGATCTTTGACCCGCTTTGACTGCCCGCAAATAAAATCGATTTCATACTTGCGCTCTCCCATGCATGACGAATTAGCCGGAATAATAAGTATGCTAAGTGAGTCGCCTTTTGCAACTGTACACATTTTACCTTTTTCCTTTTTATCAACCACCTTTGCAGGATCATGAGCACCAGCAGCAGCGATGCCCAGCTGAAGGCCCAGTTACAAATGTATTTTAAGCAAATGCAACGCTCAGAAACGCCCCCACCTCCGCCTGCAACTGCACCAGCCACATTGCGTAAGCAACCATCGTCATCGGCGGGAGGAGGAGGATATAACCTGATGATGGGCCCAAGCACTTCGAAATATGCGGCCGCTGCAGCTGCCAACTTGAACGATGAACACCCGCCGCCAGCCCCCAAATACCATATGCAGCAACAGCAACAACAGCAGCAGCAACAGAAACTCTCTTTTCAAATTAAGAAGCGTCCACTGCAGATGGACAAATTCGGCTTGCTGCGTCTGGCAACGCCGTTGAGCTCGCATTCGCAGAGTCGCAGTCGCAGTCGTTCTCCCAGGCGACGCACAAGAAGCCGCTCGCGTGACCGACGCTCATCGCGTCGGCGCGGCGGCAGCTCTCGTTCTCGCAGTCGAAGCAGGAGCCGCAACACTCGAAGCCGCTCACGCTACTCGAGATCAAGAAGACGACGCACTCGTAGCCGTAGTCGCAGTCGGACTCGCACTCGGAGTCGCAGCTATTCGCCCGTTCGTTATGGTGGCGGAGCGGGAGGTAATGGCGGAGGACAACGCTACAGAGGACGTGGATTCAAGCACCGCTTTGGAAATCGTCGCTCGCGCTCACGTTCCTATGGCCGAGGACGACGAACGCCATCGCCGTTTGTGCCGCGTCGTACACCGTCGCCGTTTGTGCCGCGTCGTACGCCTTCGCCCTTTGTGCCACGCCGCACACCATCGCCGGCCTCACGCTACCGACGCACTCGCTCCCGATCACGCAGCTACAGTCCACGGCGCCATCATGGGCCCATGCGTTTTACACCGCGCGGCCGGGGGCGTGGCCGTGGACGCTTCCAGAATCGATGGCACTTCGACAAGCGGAACAATGGCCGGCGTTTTAGTCCCACACGTAGCGTAAGTCCACCTGGAGATGGGCCCACCATCGAGGAGGTGGACGAGATGATCAAAGAAGCACAAAAGGAGCGCAAACAAGGCATTATTGAGAGCGACAAGGATATACTAAAAAAGAAAGCCACAAACACAAGCAGCGACAAGGCCTAAAGATGCAGCTTCAGTCGCACATCCAGTGTTAAGTTTCTCTTTATACGTAGTTCTATTATGTATGCTAAATAGTCACTCCAAATATAATTGATGTCTGATAAATCACCTAAAATAATAACATGGACACCAAAATAAAGATGCTTGCAAAGCAAATGTGTTGCATGGTCTGCATGCGTTACAAATAAAGTCGAAATTTTCTACTTTACATAATTCTTTATATAAGTTATGCTTCTTAAGATGTCATGTATAGATAATCCGCAAGGGTAAGCAAAACTATTTTTCGATATACCTGTTATATAATCAATAAAAATAAAAAATAAAAAAACATTCAAATTGTCTAAGCAATTAATAATAAATATATATATATTTTTTAATATTTTATTTTTATATTTATATATATATTTGTATTAAGTACATTATTTTTGTACAATGTTCGTCTTGCTGTCCGTCCTTCACAGTCGGTAACGAACGACCACAGATTTTTTTAAATACCTAATTTTTTTGTGTAAAAACAAATACTTTTGTTTATTATTTGTATGTAATTGAAGTGATATTTACTAACGTACGAAAGCAATGTTTTCATAGAACATTATTAATCCACATACAAATGTATATGCTGCACGGTATTTGTTTACAGGGTATATCTGAGAATCGTTACCGATATCAACAGTTGATACAATTCATTGTGTTCTTAGCTTACTGTTCACACACTGACACATGTGCAATTAAATGTCTATAAATAAAAGCGCGTGGTCCGCTCCGCTCCCGAGCTCTCTTACAACCACAACAAACAAACTGTGATTGCTCAAACCGGCTATTCACATTTGTTGGCGCTCTCTTCTGCACCCATACATGTGGAGCCCAAAACTAGCAAAGAGCGAGAGAGGGTCGTAGCTTTCGATGTGTGCACCACAGTTACTGCAGTCGCCGAACAGAAAATCGGACGAGTAACGCGCATAAAAAGTCTGGACACAAAACGAAGTTCAAACCGAACCCGAGATAAAGCGTATACCCCCATTTGAATTCAGTTGATATTTGCCTGCCGGCAACAGCAGAAGCAGATTTTGATACCCACATCAGTGGGGGAATATGTGTGTCTGATTGTGTGCCTATGTTTGTGTGTGTATATTTGTTAGCGCACAAGATTTTGATTTAGAATAATACGCAACAAATTCTTATAATTATTATAATTAGTACGCGAGTTTAAATTGAATTGAAATAATCAACCGTAACAGGTAGTGATCTACATTTACCGGTTACTAAAAAACAATATATACATATATATAATTTTAAAAGAATATTTGGGTAAGTAAAATAAGGAAGCAATAAAAAATTGTCATTGCTTATTTACATAAGTGCTTAATTTGCGTCCAATTCGAAATGCGAAGGAATGTGAAAAGCAAAACTATGAAATGCAAGAAAATTGCGAAAACAGAATTAAGATGCCGAGCAAAACAACACGCGGCGACATTGGCTTTTGTTTGGACTTTGAACGATAAGAGCGCACCCACCACAACAACAAGAATAGCGAGACACAATAAAAACAACAACTACGAGAAGACAAAGAACTTGAAAAAGCCACGCTTGTAGTTGTTGTGCTGAATGCGCTACACTATGGTTGTCATGTGAAGGCTTATGGGCACGAAAAGGCCATAGGTACGAGAGACAAAATAATAAAGATTAGCACATTTATGATTTGTTATTTTTTGTTATTATTGTTAGGGCTTATCTAATGGCCCAACTTATATTTATATTTAATACAAAAAAGCGAGCTAATATACCAAAATATTATTTATGTAAGAAGTGAACAGAAAATATTTCCTTAGCACCTTGCTAGATAAACAAATTATTAACAATTTCACATTTTAAAAAGTTTCTTATTGATTTTGTCTATTAATATAATATAATAATAAGAAAACAGAATATTTCAAAATAGACAAATAATCATGCAAGTGAACTAAAGTTTCTATTTATATCTCTTTCAGCGTAAATTCAATAAGAATATCATTTATTCATAATGTATACGAAAATATTTCGTGCTGTGATAATCGGCGCTCCCGGATCGGGAAAAGGCACCATCTCGGATCGTATTGTGAAGACGTTTGGGTTTCTCCACATTTCCTCGGGGGATATTCTGCGCCAGAATATCATCAAAAATACCGAACTGGGCAAGAAGGCCCAACAGTACATTGCCGCCGGCCAGCTGGTACCAGATGATATTGTGACCAAGACAATGATCGCCCGCATCACCGAGGTGGGCAACAAATCCTACATTTTGGATGGTTTTCCCCGCAATAGTGCCCAAGCTGATATTTTGGCGGCACGTGAACAAATTGATGCTGTTATTAACTTGGACATTCCACATGATGTGATCATTGAGCGTGTCAAGCATCGTTGGATACACGCCCCATCCGGACGTGTCTACAATATTGGCTTCAACGATCCGAAGGTGGCCGGCAAGGATGATATAACTGGCGAACCGCTGACCCAACGCGAGGACGACAAACCGGAGGTGGTGTCCAAGCGCTTGCAAGTCTACGATGAACTTATGAGTCCCGTGCTGGCCTGGTATGCTGAACGGGGTCTGGTAACCAGTTTCAAGGGTCGCGAAACTAAAGAGATTTGGCCGCGCGTCGAACGTTTTCTCAAGGACAAAGTCAACATGGGTTAAAAGGAGCCGTGTATTATGGCAACAACGAAACAAACAGTTCAATTAAGTGCACAAATTTTATTCAATATTGATAGGCAGCTGTTGCTAAGATGTGTTCAATTAACATATATATCAGATTTATATATATGTTGTGCGCGATAGAGTAGGGCTAAGAAGGGGGTTTACGGTTCATTGTAACTAATCAAATGTAATTGCGAAGCCTTACAAAGTAAAAACGAATCAAAATAATGAAATGTGTCCCAATGTATATTTTCTTTGCCATACACATATGTATACACTGATTATAAGCTATATAAACCATCCAAAACATTCCCCTAATAAAAATAGAAATGTTTTGTTTTGATATGAATATTATATATATAAACTTATATGTATGTACTTGTATAAACGCTTCTAAGTAGGTGCTCTGATAATAAATCATTTCCTTTTTTTGTTTTGTAATATTGCTCATTGATAACGTAGTTGCTGATTTTCACATGGGGCCATAATAGATATGGCAATAGACTATTTTTGGCCCACGTAACAGAGAGCACTTATTTTATAATAGCGTAATTTACGATCTATGGCTTCATTTATGCGCATCACTCGAACGCCTTGCTTTTTGGCCTGTAGGGCACAGCAGCTGTCAAGTGTGGCGCTCTTTCTCACACAAACACGCGCAACATAGATGATATACATAATAATAAAGCTAACCAAGCAGACAGAAGCCATACTATTCTATCTGTCACTCTATCTCTCTCTCTCTCTCTCTCTCTCTCTCTCTCTCTCTCTCTCTCTCTCTC